GGACCAGGCGGGGCGGTCCTCAAGCGCCCTCCTAGTGTTGGTGCTCCCCACGCTGCGTTTGTGTGGGGCGGCTGGACCCGTGCGCCCCGCGGGAGCGGGGCGGCGGCGGAGCCCGGCAGAGCAGAGCTTTACTCCAGCCTTTTGTCAAGTTAAAAAGCCAAGGGGAGGTTGAAGCTGTATCCGTAGAGCCGTAGGTAGTATGGGGCTCTAGATCTTTCAGCTTCCTAAATCTAGTGTTTGTTCTCAGATCTCAGCTGTTTAAATTTAGTTTTAGATTTTTAGTGTGCTTGTAAACGCAGACAATCAAAAAAGTACGTCGTTCTATGTTTAGATCTGGCTGTATTCTGATCTTGCTTTGTACAACTAAAACGCTTCTAGGAGAAGAGCTTCCATAACGGTTTGCTTTGTTCTTCTTCCCTAGTGGAATGAGATAATAGAACTTTTTCGTGCTGAGATGCCTTTACGGAAGCATCGGTGTCGCTTCAAAAGTTACGAGCGTTGCTTCAAAGCCTCAGAGGCAGTGGACTGTTTACATGAACTGCTTGGCTCTAATCAAAACTTTGGCCCAGAAGTGACTCGCAATCAAACGGTTAAGCTGCTAAAAAAATTCCTGAAAAATCATGTTATTGAAGATATTAAAGGAAGATGGGGCAAAGAGGACTTTCAAGATGATGGCCATTTATATAGGTAAACCTATATACGGTGACTGAAAAATTTTCAGTTTTGGAAAAAGGGAGTAGTAACTCTTGTGTTTTGGTCTTACAAATTTTTGTGGAATGCCTTTGAAAAGGTGTTAATGTGTCTTCTCTCTCTCTTCCTTTTAAAGACTTTATTTTCTTTAGTGATAGGCAACTTTTGGGTTTGGGTTTTTTTTTCCTTGTTTGTTTTTAAATATTTTTGAAGGGCACTTTTACTCAATTACATTCTATGAATACTAACAAAAGCTTTTGCAGTTTTTTCACGGTAGTGAGTTCTGTTTGCTGTTGGTAGCCACCAAGTTTGTCAGTGTTGGAAGAGTGCATATCGAGAAGACATTGATGGAAGGGAGGATGCTGTTGAACATCTGACTGCAGTTGTCCACCCTTTCTCCCAAAACCCTGACTATTTTGGATGCTGTTTCCACTCCTTCTTGAGAGAAGAGAAAGGCCTTCTGAATTTAGAAGTTATTCATGATATATAGCCTTTTTCTTTACTCCTTGGGTTGTAGATTGAAATTGTCTTAAAAGAGGCAAAGTTTTATTTGCTGATCCTCAAGGATGCTTGCTTACTTATCCCCATTTAGCCTCTCAACTGGTGGCTTGTTAACCAGAATAAGAGACTTTTCTTTCTAATGAAAGTTTAGCATTAGTGGAGTGGGTTCTTTGACCTCTTGTGGCCTCAGTTAAGGTTTGGGTGTCCAGAAGTTGCAGGTTCTGAATTTGTACCATCTTGTAGTCACCTGTCCAGTGAAAAAATAGTGTAAAAATGACTGTTACATTAAGTATGGATCTGTAACTTACATTATGGTGAGTCTTCTTTCAAGGAAATGAGAGCTATCTTCATGCAGAGCAATAGGGAGAATAGGTCAGCAATAATGCTATGTTGCTACTTACTATATATATTCTTAAATACTTAAAGAAATTCTATGCATTAATTTTTTGTAATGATTTCTTAATATTCGCTTTGGAAAAATGTATGTAATACTGAATTTCCATTTGATGTGGATGAAGCCAATCTTTCATTTTGCTCTATTATCTTAACTAGTTTTTTTGTAGAGTGTGCCTAAGCTTTTATTGCTGTCTAGTCTGTATACCTATGCTGTAAGTGCAGTTTTTCATTGCTCTCTTAATTTTGTTTATTAACTTGGGATACTTTAAAAGTAAGAAGTATGTATGATGTAATTCTTTCACTTTGTCATAAGCAAACTTGGGTCAAGATACTTTCTTATAGAAGTGAAGAGGTTTATGTTAAACTCATTCCAGTGCAGTTCAGTTGATTTACAGTCAGAATGGATCAGATTTGTATTTAGTTCCAGTAACAAATTAGCACCCATTCACCTTGTTCTTTATGATACTACATGACATCTTTCAGTAAAAGTGGTAGCTGCATTTTAGCCTGCCTTCTGAAGGAAATGACACTGCATGCTACAGCTTCCCTGCCACATAAGTTAAATATCCAAACCAATTTGAATCAACTTTAATGGAAGAACTTTTAAACACCTCGGGGGAATAAAAAAAAATGAATGTTCTCTCCAAACTTAGCTTCATAAAAGGAAATTCCATGTAACAACTAATCAAGGAAAATGTTAAATTTTAGAATCTGGGACTCAATTTTGAAGGACCGAGTATCAAAGGACTTGTATCTGAAGATATTTTGAGATGCTCACCCAAGAAAATCTGTTGCTAAGTATAGAAAAACAATATATGGCTGTGCAGTCTGTGAGCCGAAAATGACTGAAGGCTGGGAAGTATGCTCAGGAAGTATCACATAAGCTTGTCCTTTTCTTAAATTATTCTCTGTCCATCTGCTTATGGCTGCTATAGAAGGGCAGGATATTGGGATAGTTTACCTAGTCATTGACTATTTCAAGTTGGAACACAGGCATGGAAGACAAGAAGAGCTGCAGGGGATCTTGGGTCTTGACTTCGGCCTGGAGGAAGTTAAATGTAAATGAGTGGTGTGGAGTGGGCTTTTTACTTGTTTAAACAGAATTAGAAAAGCAGTTAGGTGCTGGTACAGCATATGGTGGTAGGTGTGTTATTGGTTCAGTATGTTTGTAGCCCAGTCCTGCTCTGTCTATTCTTCTTAGGATAGTATTGCCTGCAGTTTTTTTCACTGGTGCCATAGCTGTTAAGTACTTTGCCTCCTTTCTTTCTGGACATTGACTCTGTCAGAAGATTACGTATGGGTTTTGGTAACTGCTGGTATTATGCTGTATCTCTTTGGTCTGGGTTTGTAGTGGTTGTGTGGTTGTGGGTTTTTTGTTTGTTTTGCACTGGCATCATGAGGCATTCAAATTATTTTGTTGTTTTCTCCTTTGTATTCTCAGCCATGACTTTCCTGAGCTGCAGGCTGTGGGAAGCTGCAGGCTGTGGAAATTGGTTGGGTGAAGTATTTCTGTGCTTTTCATTTTCTATGTGCTCTGCCTAATTATCAGCTATTGGACAAGAGAGCTCTTTTGTTATAGCTATCTTTAATGATGTTCTTTCTCAACCTCCCATTCAAAAGGTAACTAAGTTACTAATTGAACAGGTTTTTTTACTAAAACTGCATACCTTTCATGCATCTTGAGTTGGAGCCAGCTTTTTCCCACTGGGCTTGCTGCATGAATAAACTATGTATGCTGCTCATGGTTTTGGTGTTTGGCTTTAAGTATTAAAACATGCTTTTCTCCTATTTATGGGGCTAAACATCGGTTTTCCACCCACCTTTAGTCATCTATTTAATGTCCTGGCAGCTCCCTCTGGTGGACTTTCCTAATGTTACGTTGTAAATATGTTTCTCACGGCGTTGATACAAAAAGTACAAGTCACTTTTAATTCCACTGACAGTGCTTACTGTGGAAAACTTGATATGCTTCATACCTTTTCTATAAATTCCTGTGTTAATTTACTGTAACTGTACATTCTGGTGCCCAGCTGTGTCATTCATTAACTTCACATGTCAGAGTAGTTATCCACTGTTGTTCACTCCACGGAGTATGCAGAAGAGATGTTGCCAAATGTTGATTTGCCTGAGAGTATTAGGCAAGTATTAAATGTGAAGGTGAGAAGTAGTGTGCTTCTAAAACCAGCAAAGACTATCTGTCTGTGTGTCCTGACTTACTGGCTCAGTGTAGTCTAGAATAATAAATGAGAAGTTACTGTTTTGGAAGCTGTGAGGCTTTACGTTTTTTTGAATCTAAGCAATTGTATTGTCGTGGTTTAGCCCCAGCCAGCAACTAAGCACCACGCAGCCACTCGCTCACTCCCCCTACCCCGATGGGATGGGGGAGAGAATCGGAGGAGTAAGAGTGAGAAACATTCCTGGGTTGAGATAAGAACAGTTTCATAATTGAAATAAAGTAAAATAGTAATGCTAATAGTAACAGTATAATAATAATAATATACAAAGCAAGTGATGCACAATGCAATTGCTCCCCACCCACCGACCGATACCCAGACAGTTCCTGAGCAGCGATCACTCCCCCTGGCCAACCCCACCCAGTTTCTATACTGAGCATGACGTCATATGGTATGGAATAGCCCTTTGGTCAGTTTGGATCAACTATTCTGGCTGTGCCCCCTCCCAGTTTCTTGTGCGCCTGGCAGAGCATGGGAAGCTGAAAAAGTCCTTGACTAGCATAAGCAGTACTCAGCAACAACTAAAAACATCAGCATGTTATCAACGTTCTTCTCCTACTAAATCCAAAACACAGCACTATGCCTGCTACTAGGAAGAAAATTAACTCTATCCCAGCCGAAACCAGGACATGTATTAAAAGCAAAAGAGTCAGTACTGTTGCACTGCTACGAAACTTCTGGGAATTCAGCTGTGGTACTTGTTATACCATTGATACCAATGTTAGCTGACCCCGTTCTCTACACGTTGCCCTGGACACAAACAGGTATCTCTATTTCCTCCTTGTACAAACTCCTACAACTAGTGTTACTGGCTGTAATCCATGCTAATCTTGACATGTCAACCTTGGAGTGCTCCTGAATTGCTAGCTTTAGGTAACATTATTCTGTTCATCATAAAATCAGAGGCTTTTCATTGTTCATCCAAAAACTTGGCTCTATCAAGTTCTTGCTGTAATGCTACCTGAATGCACCCTCTTTTTCTGTTTATAAGAACTCATTCATTTACTGGTTGGTTGAGAATCAGGGCAGCAAATAACATAAAGCTAAAAATTGTGAACAACTGGAGGGGAAAGAGGGAACTGTTGAGAATACTGTAAGGCAAAGGGGAAAAAAAAGGCTACAGATGTTTTCACATTAAACTCAAGAAATAATGAATAGCTGAAACATAGTTGAGAGCACTCAACAGCTGAGCATCTGCAGTGTAATCTGGGTTACTTTTAAAAGGCAGAGTAAGTCTTGCAGGATTAATGCAAGGTGTTTATTAATTCTCCTCAGGGTTTGTTGGAAGGAAGTGATATCTCCCTGAGTTGCAGATATTCTGTGAAGAGCGTTGTGGAATACACCAAATAGACTCAGTGTGTACGATCAAAGCCGTAACGTGTTTAACCCATTCAGTATAACACTACTGGACCAACAAAACTGCGATACAAAACTAATTTAAAAACTAATTAAATATTAGGACTGCCTTGAGAGGATGAGGTGAAATTTTGAATAAAACTTAAAGATTTCCTGAGCATGAGAATCTTTCTGGTAGGATATAAATGCACGCTATCCAGTGGTGTACAAGCTCTTTTTGCATGGTCGTAGACATAACTGTCTTTTTCATTCTGATTAAAAGAGTGAGTGAGGCTGAAGCAATTTCTTGAAGCATCAGGAATCTCAGCATCTAAAACCCCAGGAGTGCAGGTAAACAAGATCTGATCTGGGCCAGTCTGATGATATGCTGCCATCAAACTGATTTGTCTTTCTGATATGCTGCCATTAATTCCTTTGTACGTGCTCTGACCTAGGTTTGGGAGTAATTTAGTTCTGGTCAAGTTGGAGATGTGACTGAGCTGAATGTCATCTGGGATAGTTTGTTTTCCTTGTTTTCTGCAAGGGCTAGCTTAGGGCTTATTCCTACTGATTTCTTCAAGGCACTTTTTGAAATGCCTTAAAAAGTGAATGAGTTTCCTGCACAACCAGCTGGAAAAAGACTCCAGAAAAGAACTGCAGGATATGATCTTTGCATAGAAAGCATGTAAACACAGAAGAACATGGGAATGTGGACAAAGCTTTGTGTGGACACTTGCATGCACGCTAATTAAATCCAAGTGTTAGTCATGTAACTTAGTTATGTAGCTTTGCTTTAGGAGATGCATGCTAGTAGTGCACTTGACATGGGGAAAATCTGCCTGCAGCTTTTTCAGCAGAATCAAGGTCTGTGCATAGGCAGCTGGTGCTATTCGAGGTGCACTGGGATACTGGGTATTAACCCAAGGCTCAGCCATGTCATGGGAGGTACAAAGGACCTGAACTGTTCTGGAGCAGCAGATGGAGGCCAAACAAGACACCTTAGGATATTTTACATGTCACTCAACACCAGTCTTCAGGCAACTAAGTCGCACTGTGAATGTCCAAGGCATTTGTTGTATTTTTGCATGTGAAGGCCTGCTACAGTTTTGCATTGGAAAATACAGAATAGGGTAGAGTTCAGAGGCATTAAAAATATTCTTTAATTTTAGATTTCCTCCTTCCTCACCACTGAAGCCATATCCAAAGAAACCTTCATGTGCAAAGGAAGTAATTAAATTTCCAGACTGGAATGAACCGAAGGCTGGCACTTCCCAAGAACACATCCCAGTGAAATCAGTCATAATGGTAAGATATCCAGTTTTTGTTTCCCCAGATGTAAGCGTATTTGGAAAACAAAATGGAACTAATCATCTGTTTGTTGTGGCACAAAATACTTGGTTATAAAATTAAATGCAAAATACTTCTATTTTAAGTTTATGTGAAGTAAAGTTGTCCTTAATGATTTGCTGGGGATGTTGGCTTTGAGTGTTCTTTCTGCTACAGGTTATGATGTCCTGAGCATCCTAAGTTCAGGTGGCTGTATTTGCCAGTATGCCTGCATTCCAGTTTGCTCAAATTCCAATAGGGCATTTATTATACTACAAGACAAAATGGTTATTTTACTGTCACTTACACTGTAACTCTTGTTCAGACACTTAATGTCACAGAATATATACAGTATTACTCCCTTCCTAGCTGCTATGAGACTGTTAGTGATTCAATTTCCTTTTACGTAAGGAGTATGTCGTAGCTAAGGAGAAGTGGTCCTGGTTTCATTGTTACCCTTTGTGAGCTTGGAGAATCATCCTGCCCCATACTTAGTTGGGTTGATCCAGCCTTTGTAAACTTGTTGAAAAAACTGTTGCTTTTGTTAGTAAACCAAAATTATATCAACTCTTGCCACCTGGACATCTTAAAAGCCTAGGCTTCTGGAGTTATGTATATTCTAAACCCTTCCTCCAGTGTATCTTGTATATGAGTGTTCTCATTTTCTGAACTCTTGGGACTTCTTTGATGATTTTGACCTTTTTATTAGTGCTCATCAGTGCAGGACACTAGCCTTGAATTTCTTGGTGATCAATAGTCTGTTTGGAAAAGTAGCTCCTACCATTTTGCTGGACATCTAGAGGTCCTGAATGAATGGTTATTCCATATTTGTAATCCAATTACTTATGTGTAGGTTGAGTGCACCTTTCGTGTACAGCAGACTTCTGAAGAGGAAAAAGCATGGTCCTTAGAACTTCAATAGTAGGTAGACAATTAAGAGGGAAGAAGGAAAAGATAGTGCCAAAGACAAGTAAAGAGAATAGAGTATTCTAGTTACTGAGCAAGTGTCTGCTGCAGTTTTAACATGTTACAGCCTCCAGCTGTCTGCTCTAAATTTCTATCCAAGCATCCTGACCTGATAAGAGTTAGCAAAAGACTGCCTATGTACATCTGACTGAGATGTGACAGCACACAGTCTGGTGTAGTTCAGTATCTTGCACTGGCAGTTTTGGTTAATACAGTGGACCATAAGTTGAAGTAACTGAGGCAAAGGAATAAGCTTCTTTCTGCTGGGTCTTTTACAGAAAGGTGTATCTTCCACTGGAATCGTGAAGTAGACAGGTGGCTGAAAGTGATGGAACCTTAAATTGCTCCAGCATCAGTCAGAGCACTTACTGGCTGTGTGTGGATTGATGGGCATGGGTCTGTGTAGTGAAATGCTGATGTGGGACACCAGATACTAATTTCAGAGGGTTCTATCTGTTTCAAACTAGCTCTAGTCTAGTGTCATGGAATGACAGATGATTAGTGCTTGCAGTAATTAAGTGCCTTCCTGGAGTGCATTTTGTGGTTTGGTTGTGATCACAAGGAATACTGTTAATGTGCTTTAGGACTGCTCTGTGATGTAAATCAAAGAACTGGGAATGATAGGAATTTTTCCTTAAAGTATGCTGATAACACAAACTCTGTTGTATGTCCACTCATCGACATGTTGATGACAATCTTCAAGCATCAATCTTGGATGCGAAGGTTGAGTAAAGGATAGTAGTCTCTTGCATTCTCTGCTTTACTTTATTATAATGGTGGACTAGATCTGATAGGTTTCTTCAGCTGTAGCTATTTGCTTTTACTTTCTTTGTGTATAGAACCTTGTAATGAACTTAATGTTTAGTTATGATCAGTATATGCTGAACAAGGATGAATATCAGTCTTTGATATCTCATCTAATAACTCTCCACTAACTTTTCCATAAGCAGATGTTTAATCTTAGAGTGGTAGTTGGAAACAAGTAAGTTGAACTGATTTGAATCATGGAGACGATCTGAACGCAGGACTAGAGGCAATTGACTCCTGAACTTTAGTGATTATTCTGACACACATAATTTTTCAGCTTTGGACAAGTTATGTAACTGAGACAAGATGCTGCATGTCTGTGAAATCTAAACACTCACAACCTGGAGACTTTACTGGAATTTAGGAATATTTAAAATACTTGTAATAGGGAGCATGCTGTACTATAAATGTATTATACTGTTTAATACTTGAAAAGTCACTGGTTAATGAAGAGTCTTTTTTCTGATTTCAGAACTCTGAGATGTGGTACAAGCGACACAGCATAGCTATAGGGGAAGTACCGGCATGCAAACTTGTGTTCCGCAGAGAGCTAACACAAAGGAATATAGAAGAGATATGGAAATCCATGACTTTGTCACAGTGAGTATACTTATGAGTCATTTGCTGTTAGAGTAAAATGGTGTAGTAGGTAATAGTCTTGTCTGTCTTCTCTGGTAATGCTTGTAATTTCACCCATTCGCCTTTAATCACTGCTATGTAGTGGCTAGACTAACTCCACCACTTGTTATTTGGCTAACAAATTCAGCAAATGAAGCTTGCAAAGAAACTTTATTGTGCTTAATGCCTTTTGACTTTTCCGGTTGTGTTATACAAGTCCTTTTGTTGTGTGGGCTTTGTCTTGTTTAATCACTTTTTTCCTAAGCCTTTCTCTTTTCTTTCTTGTTGCTGTGAAATAGAAGCACTTCTGTAGAAGTGGAATACCATGAAACCTTTCAATGACAAGCACAATACTTCACATGAGATAAGAAATGGAGTAGCTAATTGAGTGCGGAAGGCTTTGAGATTCAGATATTCTTTAGTATTTCCAAAAGAAATATCCTAAGCAAAGTTAAAGGCATAAATAATTGCCTATTTATGCAGGATAAAAAAATAACATACGTTAGCTATTTTTACAGCACAGTTGAGGCCTTACTAATGATTACTTTCACCTAAACCTAGCACATTATCTCCATGTAATAAAGTTGATGCCGAGGTGAGCAGCTCCGGCGCTGGCAGGATCCGATGTGGAGCACTCTAGTGTGGTGCACAGGGGGATTTTCTGAACCGGGGGAACCTCAGGGGGGGCCAAAGACCCACTGGGAGCCCGCAGGTCACACTGTCGTGACCTGGGCGGCGCCAGGAGCAATGGCAGCCAAGCTCCCCCCACCTATAAAAGAAGCTCTTGGGGAGCACTAGTGACAGAAGTGCTGCAAGCAGGGCAGGCAAACAGGGCATGGCAATCAGCATGGAAGGGCAGGCTGGTAGGGTGCTGAAACTCTGCCAGATCTGCCAGGGAGCAATGGTATCCACCCAGCAGAAAGCCATATAGGGAGTCTCTGAGCTCTGCACCTGCCACGACTGATGCAGCTTCCCAGGTCTCTCTGCCCCCTCCCCCTGCCACGACTGATGCAGCTTCCCAGACAGAGCTCCGGTGGGAACACGCTGCCGCCCAGTTGCCAGGCTGCAGGGTGTGCTCTACTCTTATGCCAGCCCCAGACGGCAGCAGTGAGCACACCTGTGGGAGGTGTGCCCAGGTAGAGGAACTCCTCCACTTTGTGACAGAGCTCCAGGGGGAGGTGAGTAGGTTGAGGAGTGTCAGGGAGAGTGAGAGAGAGATAGATTACTGGAACCTCACCCTACCTTCCCTGGGACAGGCCTGTCAGGCAGACAGGACACGTGATATGGAGGATTCCCTATCCTCTCTCACCTGACTGAACGTGGTGACTAAGGGATAGGGGGCAATGGTGACAAGTTCCCAGCACAGTAGGTACATATCCTCCGTGACGGCCCCACCTTCCCAGGTGCCCTTGCAAAATAGGTACAAGGCTCTGCAAGTGGAACTGAACAATAATGAGGATGATGGTTCGTCTAGGTTGGAGGTGTCACCAAAGTTAAGTCTGCCTACACCCTGCATCAAAGCCACTTCCATAAAGAAAAAAAGACAGGTCATTGTCATAGGAGACTCTCTTCCAACGGGAACAGAAGGCTCAATACACGGACCAGACCGAATTCTTAGGGAAGTCTGCTGCCTCCCTGGGGCCTGGGTTAAAGATGTGAAGAGAAAACTTCCTACCCTGGTGCAGCCCTCAGATTATTATCCATTATTGATTTTTCAGGTAGACAGCAATGAAGTTGCAACAAGAAGTCTGAGGGCAATCAAGAAAGACTTCAGGGCCTTGGGACAACTGGTTAGGGTATCAGGAGCACAGGTAGTGTTCTTCTGTATCCTTCCAGTTGCAGGAAATGATGAGGGAAGAACAGTAAGAGCCAGTAGATCAATACCTGGCTCTCAGACTGGTGTCACTGGCAGAGTTTGGGATTTTTTGATTGTGGGTTCGTCTACAGGATACCAGGCCTGCTAGCAACAGACAGGGTACTCCTGTCTCAAAGCAGGGAAGGATCTTTGCACAGGAGTTAGCAGGGCTCATTGAAAGAGCTTTAAACTAGATTTGAAGGGGGAAAAGGATAAAACCAGGCTCACTAGAGATAAGTCTGGGGGGAGCATGCCAATGTTTGAAGTATGGTGTGCTAGCAAGGTCCTTTGGTCTGCTCCACAATGTGCTGAGTACACTGGAGTGCATCTGAAATGTCTTTATACTAATGTGTGCAGCACGAGGAATAAGCAAGAGGGGCTAGAAGCTTTGGCCCAGTCCCAGAGCTATGGCATCATTGGCATAAGCAAAACCTGCTGGGATGAGTCCTGTGACTGGGGTGCTGTGATGGACTGTTACAGGCTCATCAGGATGGATCAGGCAGGGGAGACAAGGTGGGAGAGTGGCACTGTATGTAAAGGAGGGGTTGGATGGTATGGTGCTTGCAGTTGGCGACAACACGGTTGAGAGCCTCTGGGTAAAGGTGAAGGGGAAAGTAAATAAAATGGATGTTGTTGTGGGAGTCTACTATCAACAACCCAGCCAGGACGATGACACCAATGAATTATTCTACAAGGAATTAAGGGATGTCTCTAAATAACTGCCTTTGTCCTTATGGGTCATTTTAACCTCCCAGACTTCAACTGGGACTATCATGCAGCACACGCAAACAGGTCCAGGAAATTTCTGAAGCATGTTGAAGATTACTTCTTGGTGCAGGTACTAAGGGAGCTGACTAGGAAAGGTGCCCTCCTAGATTTTTTGTTTGTAAACAGAGAGGGACTTGTGGGCAAAGTGGTGATTGGTGGCTGTCTTAATCACAGTGACCACAAAGTAGTTGAGTTTCAATTGTTGGTGATAGGAGAAAAACTGCCAGAAAAACATTGACCCTGCATATGGGGAGAGCAGACTTTGGGCTGCTGAAGGAGCTAGTTAGGCAGGTCCCCTGGGAATTTGCTTTTAAAGGTATTGGGGTCCATGAATACGGGTCACTTTTTAAGAGCCATCTCTTAAGAGTGCAGGAGCAGGCAATGTGAAAATGTTGGAAGTCAAGCAATTGGGGCAGAAGGCCGGCTTGGCTGAGTAGCGATCTTCTAGAACTTATGCAGAAAAAGACTTTGCATGGACATTGGAAGCACATGCAACATGGGAGGACTACTGAGATGCTGTTTGCCACTGTAGGGAGCAAATTTGTGCGGCCAAAGTTCGATTGGAGTTCAAGCTGGTCAGCTTTTTAAAATATGTTAATAGCAGAAGGAGAATCAGAGATAACATTGGTCCATTGCTTGATGAAGTCAGTCACCTCATGTCGTGGTTTAGCCCCAGCCAGCGACCAAGCACCATGCAGCCGCTCGCTCACTCCCCCTGCCCCGGTAGGATGGGGGAGAGAATCGGAGGAGTAAGAGTGAGAAACATTCCTGGGTTGAGATAAGAACAGTTTCATAATTGAAATAAAGTAAAATAGTAATGCTAATAGTAACAGTATAATAATAATAATATACAAAGCAAGTGATGCACAATGCAATTGCTCCCCACCCACCGACCGATACCCAGACAGTTCCTGAGCAGCGATCACTCCCCCTGGCCAACCCCACCCAGTTTCTATACTGAGCATGATGTCATATGGTATGGAATAGCCCTTTGGTCAGTTTGGATCAACTATTCTGGCTGTGCCCCCTTCCAGTTTCTTGTGCACCTGGCAGAGCATGGGAAGCTGAAAAGTCCTTGAGTAGCATAAGCAGTACTTAGCAGCAACTAAAACATCAGTGTGTTATCAACATTCTTCTCATCCTAAATCCAAAACACAGCACTGTGCCTGCTACTAGGAAGAAAATTAACTCTATCCCAGCTGAAACCAGGACACCTCACAAACAGGGACGTAGACAAAGCAGAGATGTTTAATGCTTTCTTTGCCTCTGATGGTGGGCCCTAGGACCCCTGGAGCCCCGTGTTGGAAGACTGTGACTTTGGGATGATAAACTCCCAGCTGACCCTGAACTTGTTCAAGACTTGCTGCTCCAGCTGGGTGCACATAAATCTGTGGGGCCTGATGGGATTCATCTCAGGGCACTGAAAGAGGTGGCCATTGTCATGCCGGGACCTGTCTCCATTATTTTTCAATGGTCTTGGGAGTCTGGAGAGCTGGCAAATGTTGTCCCAGTTTTCAAGAAGGGTAAGAAGGAAGACCCTGGCAATTACAGGCCCGTCAGTCTCACTTCAGTGCCTGGTGAAGTTATGGAGAAGGTTATTCTGGGAGTTATTGAAAAATACTTGAGAGACAACACAGTCATTGGCCATAGCCATCATGGGTTCACGAGGGGAAAGACCTGCTTAACTAACTTAATTTCCTTTTATGACAAGGTCACCCATCTAGTTGACCAAGCAGATGTGGTGGTTTGGGATTTTAGCAAAGCTTTTGATACTGTCTCTCACAGTATCCTTCTAGAAAATCTGTCCAGCATACAGCTAGACAAGTCCATAATATGCTGGGTGAGCAATTGGCTGATGGGTTGGGCTCAAAGGGTTATAGTAAACACGTTTACATCAGGCTGTCAGCCAGTCACCAGTGGGGTTTCCCAGCGCTTGATTTTAGGGCCAGTGCTCTTTAATGTTTTTATAAATTATCTGGGTGCAGGAATTGAATGTACATTAAGAAAGTTTGCCGATGGTACTAAATTAGGAGGAGCTGTGGACTTACTCGAGGATAGAGAGGCCTTACAGAGAGATCTGGATAGACTAGAGAGCTAGGCAATCACCAGCGGTGTGAAATTTAACTAGAGCAAGTGCTGGATTCTCCATTTGGGATGGGATAATCCTGGTTATATGTACAAATTGGGGGACGACAAGCTGGAGAGCAGCCTCGCGGAAAGTGATCCGGGGGTTTGGGTTCATGGCAAGTTGAATATGAGTCAACAGTGTGCCCTGGCAGCCCAAAGGGCCACCTGTGTCCTGGGGTGCATCAAACACAGCATAGCTAGCTGGTCAAGGGAGGTGATTGTCCCACTCTAC